TTTCCCATTCCCATTTCTCCTTGTGTTTAATCAGCCTGACCAAGGACCGCTGCAGCACCGGAGGCACTTCAGCCCTGCCCAACAACTCCCAGAGCCAGCTGAAGGAGAGAATCCTTTGACAGGGCTGAGCACGGGCCGTGTATCTAAGCCACAATAAGCTTATGAAGGCCTCAAGAACGTGACCCTGCCTTCCGTTCATTTTGTGTCTCTGTGCATTACTTCTAACAATGCCGTGCTTGCACCCGGGACGACAGTTATTATCTGACTGGATGCCTTTTATAGGTTTGGTCAGGTAGTAAGAAATGGTTTGGCACACTCCAGGTTATATGTCACCAATATTAATATGTGTCAGTACCCTTGCCAGTGTGTAAAAGCTCATTCTTCATAAGGTTATTTACAGTACATTATATATTCCTACGACTGAAATCTGAATGTCAACAGACTTTTATTGTGACAGTTTCGTTACAACCCTAGAATCTTCCAAGACACAGAAATTCTTTAGGGATTACAAATACCAATACTAAGCCAAATTCTCATCCTATAGAAGCAAAGAGAGTATCATCGGGTCACAGTTATTTAACATTTTAATGTTTGCGTTCTAGGACTTAGAAGAATGCTAAAAGAGCAAATGTTTCTTCTGTGGAACACTTTGGAACTTTTGCCATGTTCTATTGAACTCTTTGGAAACTTGTTTCATAACTTCGTAGAGAAAGTCCCATATAACCCTCATATTCAGATGGAAGTCTACCATACTGATTAAAAAAAAAAAAAAAGTTTTCAGAGGCCTTAATATAGTTGGATAAGTTTAGACAAAGGCATACACCCAGGTAAACAACATCCTAAAAAGAAAGATACAGAACATTGCTAACAATCTATAAACTTCCTTCATGTCCCTTTCCAGTTTACCCTCTCTGCATGGCAACCACTGTTCCGAGTTCCATCATCATACATCAGTTTTGCCTGCTCTTGAATTTCGTATAAATGGAATCAGGCTGTATGTTCTCTTTTGTGGCTGGCTTCTTCTGCTCAATAGAATGGTTTTGAGATTTATGCAAATTGTTGCAAGTATCAGTAGCAGTTCCCTTTTAAATTTCTGAATAGTATTCTGTTCTATGAATTTACCACAATGTGTTTATCCATTGTTCACCCAGGCGCTAGTTGGGCACACGATGGTGCTCCGGTAAAAGAAAACGGAGCAATTCTTGTTCATTCAAATATGCGATTCACACATGCTTTTGCTAATGATTATACCCAGAGCTAAATCTGATTTTTAATCCTTCAACCCTCAAAGGGATGAAAAAGAGAGCATGAGGAAAACAGGAATCACTTGAAAGTCTGATTCTAAGAAGCAAGCACCAGGAGTAAGAGATAGGATCTATTAGGCGAAATATCTTCAACATGAACCAAATTTGCTCTTGGTCCCGGCTCTTGTCAAGGACTGTGAAAAGACTGAATTAAATTCAGGTCTAACCCCCATTCACTGTTATCTTCCTCTTATCTCTCCCAGCTCTTTTGACCACTGGTTAAAAATTCTTTTTCTTTGTAAACAATCTAAAGGCTTTTGGTAATTCAGGTAGACCTTGCTTGCTTGGGCATTCTGGAAGATGACTCCAGTTCCAATCAGTGTGGCAGTGCGGGCAGTGGTATGTGTAAAAAAAATATTTTGAGTCCCTTTCCTTGGACCATGTGAAAGACATCAAAAAAGCAGGAAGGTTGGGGGAAATGATGTAATCTATTATGATTTCTCATCATCAAGAACTTAACCCTGTCCACAGGGAAAGAATACTCTAATAGGTCCTATAAAAGTTTCTTTTGGTTGTGATTCCTCCCTCAAGATGTTTTAAAACTATTTAGAGAAAACACAGACAAATCTAGTTTCATCTAGCTAGTTAGAAACAAATGAAATCAATCTAGTTTGACCTAATTAGTTAAGTGTCCACAGGAAACGCCATTCCAACTGAGTATGGAGCAAGCACTATTAAAGAAAAGAATAACTGAACATTACACAGAGAGCACAGAAAATCATTATTGCAAATAATGTAGGTAAATAAGAGTTCCTAGTTAGACATTAAGTTTTGAGCCAGTGACTACAAGTTCAAATTTAACAGTTTTGTAATTTAAATTTTTTTAATGTTTCACTTGAGTATTATCTCTTGCTTCTCAATTGAAAATGAGGTTGCTAATATTTACAATTACTTGAACTTCAAGCCCTCCCTTGGTAGGATTTCCCCAAAAGAGCTAATCATCTTTCTTAAGTTGCTATTTCAGAACTTTTTTTTCTTTTAGCTCCCAAATTGAGCTATATTTGTAGTGACCTAGAAAACATGAGGGGTCTCAGTGATATGCTGAAGGGAGGTATGAAGGGTCAAAATCATTCAAAAAGTACAGTCTGGGTTAGAAGTATTACAAGAGTATTACATTGGGCACATCCTTCTCATAGGCAGTGTCCATGACAGAAATTAATCCAATTTGAGAAGAAGCTAACATCCTCATAATAAGACTTTTTCCATTGGGGGAACATTAAAGATACCATAAGACACAATCAAAGTGCTGTATTACTAAAATAAAATCCAGTCTCTAATTAACATAAATGAAAAATTTCTATTACTATAAATTTTGGAATTTCTAATATCACTCGATGAACTTTTATTAAAGAATTTAATTTTTCTACTTATAATGAGGCTAAAAAGCAAGAACAAACATTTGTCTTATGTATCTATTGAAATGTTCTGTAGAATTGTAATCACAATTAATGTTGTTGGAAATAAAGTATTCTTTTTTACTTTTTATTTTTATTTTTTTTAAAGATTTTATTTATTTATTTGAGAGAGAGAGAAACAGCATGAGAGGGGAAAGGGTCAGAGGGAGAAGCAGGCTCCCCGCCGAGCCGGGAGCCCGATGTGGGACTTGATCCCGGGACTCCAGGATCATGACCTGAGCCGAAGGCAGTCGCTTAACCAACTGAGCCACCCAGGCGCCCCAAAGTATTCTTTTTTAAAAGATTTATTTTATTTATTTGAAAGAGAGAGCATGGGGGGAGGGGGGACAGAGTGAGAGGGAGAGGCTCTCAAGCAGACTCCATGATAATGTCCCACATGGGGCTCCACATCAGGACCCTGAGATCATGACCTGAGCCAAAACCAAGAGCCCGACGTTCAACCAACTGAGCCACCCAGGTGCTCTGGAAATAAAGTATTATTTGATGTCAATTTGTAACTTCCTGAATATTTATGAGTCAGAGGCACTTCTACAAGCATATGTCAGGCATTGCTCCAGTTGCCTGTTTTACTCCTCTTATAAAACACTACATACATTTTTTAATCAAAGGTTTATGGATGTTTGTTTTAGTATAAAAATATAGTTACTGAGTTTTTTTTTTCCATCCTCAATTCTCAGGATATATTAAATTAAAACCAGATATTCATGTTGAGATACCACCAAGGATTCCTTTATCTTAGCCATTGCTTCTTGGCCAGAGGTAGGATTCTGTCCCACATCTGTCCAGGAAAACTACAGTCAATGACTGTCTGGCTCTCTTGGAATGAAATGCATGGTCTGGAATTTCCGGGAAGAATGCACAGTCAACAATTGGATATGTGCTCACAGGTGGGCAAGCGAGGCTGTCCTCCCTGTCACTGTTGTCATGAGCTCCCCAGTCTCCACCAGGGTCGGCTGCCCTACTTCATCTTCCCCATGTTGTGTGAGTCACTGCTGTGCTTATAAAGATAAAACCAAGAGTGAGAACACTTATCTTCCATAGAAACACAAAATGGACATGCTTTTCCATTATGCTTGACTCTGTAACGAAAGCTCTAGGAAGTGAGTGCAGCATGAACTCATTCCTTCCGCCTCAGCAGACAGATGGATAGAGACATTCCAGTTTGTTTCCAGTCTTTTGTCTTCAGAGCATTTTTGGCATTTCCTTCAGGAAACTGGAGGTTGTGACCTAAGGTTTCCTTAGTGAACACACTTCTGTTTCCCACAGTTAACCTTACCCAGAAATGACATCTACTCTGTTAGGTGAGGTTTATCTTCATGTCCCAACTGTGTCCTGTGCATATTCAGTGACAGTTGAAAGCACAAATTCTGAAAGTAATAATAGGACTGAAGAGCCAAACACACCAAAATCCTTTGCATTAATCCCCAGCAAAGGTGACAATAACGTTGAAACAAGAATGAACTATTACAGTAATTCTATGATGCTTACAAAGTGCCCTTGCTCTCCTTGTATAGTTGGAGAAAGTAATGGCTAGGATGTTAAAACTTTCAGATACTATTGAAAGTTTTCAGATATGAGGTGTATACTATTCCAGCGACATTCTGCAACTTGTTACTTCACTGATACCGTATAGTCCCATATTGTCCAAAGGATAGTCTGGGAGAAGCCCAGTGTCCTGAAAAAAATTAAGTGATTTAATATACTATCTCCCATATCCATATCCCCATTTCTCCAGCATGTTGGTGGAAAGCCAAGCATGTAAGCTTTTATTGCTGGGTTTGCCATGACCATTAAGTTTCATAATTTAAATTAGATATGCAACCAAGTTGTTGTATATTGTTTTTTTTAAACCCATGTTTTAGGACAAGAATTATTATATATAATTTAGTTTGGCTTGAATGCAATTTAAAACTCCAATAATTACATTTACTTGTCAATGTGGTATTTAGAGGTTGGTGGTTTTCATCACATTTTTTACTACTCTTCAATGTTAACTTATTGAAGTTTCTCTTCCTGAAAAAGATAGAGCGGTTTTTAACAAACCACATTTTTTTCACACCCTAGTTTATCAAGGTAAAATCCTTTAAAGAGTAATAGAAATTTGCCTGTAACTTTGATTCTAAAAAGCCACATAGTCAAATAGAAGCTTAATAATTATTTTTTAAAAAATGCTCTCCACAGAGGACTCTTTAAAAAAAATCAGTTTATTAATGTTTAAAAGTTGATAAAGCTATGTGCAAAATGATCCACAAAAGTCAGAAACCTATTAAATACTATTTTTAAAAGACATTTCTCAGTTTAATTGCACTGAAAACCATACTAAAGAGACAGCAATATATTTTTTTTGTAACATTTATACACATCTTTAACTGACTATTTAATGAACAGCTGTATTGAAAAACTTCTGGTATTCCCTATCAGTTAAAGTAATGCTTTAATGGCACAAGAAGTTTGTATTTTCTTAGGAAATACACTTTCAACGGTGTTAACACAAGTTAGAAAAATCCAATAAAATGCTGAAACAAATACATTCAAAAATCACTGAAAGTACTTTTAACACAACAAAATACAACCATCCTGTTGGTTGAACTAATTCACAACAACACTCTGAAATAAACATCAACAAAGTGCCAAAGACAGATGTTGTATTTGTTAGACAGATTCATTAAGAAATCTCTCTTGGTTTACAGTCACCCCACCCCCCCCAGTCAGTTTTCACCTGGTTTTGCTAGTTTGTTTCTCCTATGACACAAAGGATCCTGCCTGATACCATTTAGATAAATTGGACTTCCTTATGCAGATTTCAGCCACAATGGATACTGACACTGTAATACATTTCCTTGTAAAGTTGTTAAAAGAAAAAAAATCAAAGTGACTTTAACCAAATTCCAAAAAACTGATCCAGCTTACATGGAAACTTTGGCCTCGGGAAATAAAATTGCTTTATATCTCCAAACCATCTCCATTCCTCACAGTTGACCTCCTGGACTCAGCCTACCTGCTACAAACCATCAAGAAATGGACCATGCCACAACCCCAGCTCTGATGAAAGCCAGGTAGTTCGAATATAAAGTAAAAGAATTTTGAGGAGGGGTGTGAAGGCGGAGGGAGGGTGGGATATGCAGAGCATACCCAGAGAAGCAGAAGTGTACACAATCCCTTGGGCTGGAAAGGTGAAAGAAAACATCTCAAAGCTCCGGACAGTCGCTTTCACACTGGGACATTAGTCTTCCAGGAGGGGCCGAATGAACCCTTCAGGAGCTTGACGATGCTAGACCTTTGGCTCAGTGCAAAATCAAAGCTCCAGGGCGGGGGGGTTAGGAAATAGATTCCAGACGAGGACCTGATCTCCACCCTTCCCAGTGCATTGTTCACAGGAACTAACCCACCAACACCCCGGCACCACCAGGCTGCTCTTACTATGCCCGCCCTCCCTCTGGCTCCCAGCAGCTCCTCCCTGGCAGTAGTCGAGACAGAGATTTCCCCCCCCCCCAAACACTGGGTGGTGGGTGACCGCGCAAGAATTCTCCCCGTGGGTCGGCAGCACTCAGTTTTAGGAAGAAGAGTTGACATTTCCAGAGGACATAATGGTCTCTGGGTTGTCCCCATCGTCCTTCTGCGGGTGGGAGGAGTTGTCCGACTTACTGCGGCTGAATTCCATGCCGGCAATGATGGGTCGCTTGAATTTGCCCGCGGAGTCCCCGCTGGGGCACTTGCAGCAGGACAGGATCCGGATGAAGGCCCGGCGCATCTCCTTGTTGGTCAGAGTATAAATGATGGGGTTGGTCCCGGAGTTGAGCACTGCCAGCACCAGGAAGTACTCGGCTCTGAAGAGAATGTCGCAGGTCTTCACCTTGCAGCCCACGTCCAGCAGGAGTAGGATGAAGAGGGGCGCCCAGCAGGCGATGAAGACGCTCAGGACGATAATCACGGTCTTGAGCAGCGCCAGCGACTTCTCCGAGCTGCGGCTGGCCTTAGACACGTTCTTGCGGAAGGTCAGACGGCGGCTCCGAGTCCTGACCAAGGAGTAGATCCGGCAGTAGAGGATGACGATGGCGAGCAGGAGCAGAGTGAAGACAGTGGTGCAGAAGAGGATATAGTGCTTGTGGTAGAGCGGCAGGACGGTGGAGCAGTTGTACAGCACGCTGATGCAGTTCCAGCCCATGATGGGCAGGCCACCCAGGATGAGGGAGATGACCCAGCAGGCACTGATCAGCAGGAAGGAGCGGAAGCTGTTGCTCCCATTGTGGAGTTTCATTTTCAGCATTGTGATATAGCGCTCGATGGCGATGGCTAGGAGGCTGAACACGGAGGCAGACAAGGCCACAAACATACTCCCTTCCCGCAGAAACCACTGGGCGGGGGTGAGCTTGTAGGTGGTGGCGCCAGACAAGAGCAGGTTGGCTGTGTAGGCCACTCCTGCCAACAGGTCTGAGAGGGCCAGGTTGCCAATAAAATAGTACATAGGTCGGTGGAACTTCTTGGTTTTCCAAATGGTCAGCAAGACAAAGATGTTCTCTAGGATGATAAAACAGCAGATGAGAATGAACACCACCGAGCTCAGTTTAATGCCATTCTCCTTGTCCGCGCCGATATTCAGCTTTCCTGTGTAGTTATAATGCCGGACGATAATGTCATAGTTGACATAGTCGGAGACAGGACTGCGGAGGGCCTTCACCAGCGGGACGCTGGTAGACCCCATGGTGCACAGTGTCTCCAGGAATCCGGGGGTGGCGCTTCTCCAGAAGAACGCTAGAGGGCGAGGCCGAGCGAGCCTTCACTTGCGGCGGGAGGTGGTTCTGTCCGAGAGTTCCAGGCTTTTTGTGTCGCTTTGCCTTGGTTGGAGAGGGCCTCGGAAACAGCAGCTTTAAACAAGTCACAAAGAGGAGAGAGTCAGGGAGAAAGCCACAGCACACTGGCATAATTCATTCTAGCTAAGGCATTGCTCCAGTTTTGTCGTGGATTTGTTTTAAGGAAACTTGGAGCAAGCGCAAAGAGAGGGATTTAAAAAAAAAAAAAAATCAAATTCACATTTCTTGCCAAATGGGGGGGGGGGAGGGCAGGGGAGGGAGAAAGAACAAAAATCTACCCAAACTGAAAACTCCAAATCGACAAGGCGAAAATTCTCCTGTGTCACATCCAAATGGAAATGGGAAAACTAGAGAAGTGAGCCCCATAACACCTCTCCCGCCCTCTCACCGCCCCCCCCAACTCCAACCCCCTCCAGGTTTCCAGCTTGGAGGTTCTCTGAAGCGCTGGCCCACTCACCAGCGGGTTCACCTTGGTGTTGGTCTTGGTCTCACCTCGGAAGAGACCCAACCGCTAATATGAGGGTGGAGACGCACACCACCTCTGCTTGCCACAACCACCCAGCTAAAAGAGCTGAGAACCACCTCCTAATTGCCTTGCAAGACATTAGATTTGCACGAAAATCATTTGACAGAGTAAGTCATTCTTTGGGGTCTATTAATAACTCTCTAGGAACAGGTGTGCTCAGGGTCCGAGGGGTGTGGGCAGCCAAGCCCGCCCCGGCCTTGCGGTAAACAGGAAAGCTTACGCTTCTGTGAAGCAACTGCCTTTTCTTAATTTCTTCTTCTAGTCTTTTTTTTCTTGTAAGCCAGTGCAAGAAAATATAAAGGTATTCAGTGAAAATCATTCATAAGAGATTGCAATAAATCCCAGGAATTTAGTACATTCATTGATTGTATAAGGAGTATGTTTAGTTACTGTGGGTTTGGCCAAAACACACACAGGCACGCACACAAAAGAGAGAAGTTATACTACTAATGATAACGATACATGCCACTACATTCCTAATTCCAAGTTCAAAGCTTCTGTCCAGAAACATAAATGTACGTCTGGTGCGTTGCTGAGCGAGAGCCGGCCGTTTCATTTACTGCCCTCCCCCAACATGTTGCCTCCTCTCTTAGAACTACAAAGTGTGGAGGGAATGAAACATGGCACTGGTCAGCAGAAGTCTACTTGCAATGTTTCAAGATAACGCAGCAATGTGAAAGAAGTGGAGTAATAGAGGCAGCAACAGCAGTTCCCGGGACAGCAGAGGCTACTCGCGCCCAGAAGCTCTACATTTCTCCCATCTAATTCCGCACCCTGCTCGCCGGCAGTGCAAGTTTAAGCCCTTACCCCACCTCCCATATTCTTTGTCTATAGGATTTCCAAATAAAAGCGCCTTCCCTCCCTCCGCGACCAACCGCAGTTTTCACTATCCCCTACCCGTGGTCGGGTTTACAACTGGACTTAACCCTTTTTGGAACTTCATAAATCACAAGTGCCCCAAGAACAATCCGATCGCGTTGGGCTCCTTAGCAGCCCAGGGATGAATGTTTCCAGCGCCCAGAGATGGATGTTTTAAAAGGTTTTGGGTTTGGGTTGGGTTTGGGTTTGGGTTTTTTTTTTTTTTTTGTATTTTTTTGTTTTTGCTTCGTTCGGGTTTAAAAATTCCTTTCTAACACGGAAGACCTCCTGCAGCGGCGGTCCCCCGCGCCCCCGGCCCGCGCTGGCAAGGTGCAGTCCCCTACCTCGCTCAGGCAGGACGAAGTTGCGTTGGGAGAGCTCCGGGTCTCCACTGCGCGCTCGGCATCTTGCTGCTGCCCCGGGACTGACTGCGACGCTCTTCCAAACTTACTCGAGTCGGGGTCCCCTCCCTCCGCAGCCGCACACTCCAATGGCCAGCCCTGCTCCCCGCGGCCAGCGCCGGCCCGCTTGCTGAAGTCGTCGAGCGCCCCGCTGAGGCTGGGTGGCTTCTCTAGGAAGAGGCGGGGAGGGGTTAATATCTCAACCCCCACGCCCTCCGCCAGCGGCTGGGGGCCTCCGGATCTCGGCTGCAGAGACTCACTGTCCAGGAAAGATCTGGGGCAGAAGCGCGCGCGCGCACGCACACACACACACACACACACACACACACACACACACACACACACTCCTCCCCCACAGGCAACCGAAAAAAAAAAAAAAAAAAGAAAGAAAAAGAAAACAGAGAAGGGACGTAGGCTGGTGCCCCCTGGATTCTGATGCATAAATCACGGCCCTAGCCCTGCTGTCCTCCACTCCCGGAGACCGTTCTCCCAAGTCTTACAAAAGAGAAGAGGTGGGAAGCCTTTGGAAACTTCCCTCCTGAAAAGTCTTAGGGGGCAAAGGACAGCCCGGCGTCTCGCAGCGCACCTCTCCGGTCCCCTAGGCGCTGGAGTCCTTGGTTCGATCCGAGTCCGGAGACTTTGGCGGGGCGCGCCCGCGGCCGCTTCTGCGCAGGCAGAGAAAACCCCAGCGAGACCCCGAGAGTCCCCGCCGCTCTCTGGGGAGGAGAAGCTGGCAAGGGGCCGCAAAAGACACGGAGAAGATACGCAGCAGCCTAGAAGGGAGAATGGCCCCGGAGGTTCCTTTACGTCTCCCCACCCCCATCCCGCTGCTGCCCCGAAACTTGCGGTCTGAGGGGCAGAAAGTGGCTTTCCCGGGACTCGCGGTGAGATGGGCCAGCGCCTGGCGAGACGTTGGGTGGGGGTTTCCCTAATTCAACCGGGCGCAAAGTCAGCTGTGTGTCCCAGATTCTGGCCAGTGGGAGACCTCTGGGGACATGGGCAGCTGCTGGGGCCTGAGAGATTTAAAAAGCTTGGGCAGCACAAGACTTTCCAAAAGGGAAGAGCCTCTGGGCCCAGCCAGCCTAGTCTGAGGCCGGTGCCCTTCTCTCCCTTTCTACTCGGGAGGACTTAGAGGCCCCCACACCTAAAAGCTCCCAACACGCCCACTCTTTTCTTTCGCTTAGATGCTACTTCAGAAGGTGAGACTAGAGGCGGCTTTGGTCAGCTCCGCCTCAATGACAAACTCAGAGCACTTCTGCCCTGCCCTGCTGCGACACAGATTTCCACCCAGTCCCTGGTCGCACTGGCTTCCCATCCTGGCAGATGTGAACGCAAAACTTCTCCGTGTGCAGTTTCAATTGATAGACACACCCTGTACCTGAATGACTCAGAAGGAGGCTAAATGAATAAACAGACCCCGGCTTCTGGGATCTTATGAGTTTGCAAAAGAAGAAATCAAACGACAGTTAAAATCAAGTTCACAGCTGCCTGAAAGTCTTCATTAACGGAGTTGAAGCCAGCACATAGCCACAAAGTCAACAACAGTACATGCATACAACATAGAAACTAAGATAACGGTCCTCTAGGCTCTAGAATAGATCGGCTTTGATTGGGCTTGAGGACTTATTTAAAAGAAGAGGTATGTTGAGTCTACCCTGCACAATATAAGGTGGGGACTTGGCAAAATCCACCCCACCCACTAATTTTTGAGTTCTTTAAGGGAAAGGAATTAAAGTGAATTGCGCACCAAAACTCTTATCTATCATGGTAGATTATCTAACTTAAGCAAGCACTGTTGGTCATTTTATTGATGAGAGAAATGTCACTCAGCTTAAATCACTAGGTATCCCAGCTAGTATGTGGCAGAGCTGGGTTCCACATCTTAATGCCATGTCTCCCAGATGTCATGACCCCCAGTTCAAACACCTTCAGTCAATAAATAGTTAAGGAACTGAAGTGTGTGTTCCCCAAAGGGAAGCAAACCTCTAGCTTTAAAATTTTTAAATTGTGCTAATTTCTTTCTTTCTTTTTTTAAAGATTTTATTTATTTGACACACACAGAGAGAGACAGCGAGAGAGGGAACACAAGCAGCGGGAGTGGGAGAGGGAGAAGCAGGCTTCCCGCCCAGCAGGGAGCCCGATGCGGAACTGGATCCCAGGACCCTGCAATCATGACCTGAGCCGAAGGCAGACGCTCAATGGCTGAGCCACCCAGGCGCCCCAAATTGTGCTAATTTCTTGACTATATATATGTCAAAAATGTATACGAAGATGGGCTAATGAATGTCCTTTCAAAACCACTTATTTCCTGACTATGCAAGTCTATAAAACATATACAAAAGTTATGCTAATAAATGTCTTTTTTTCACCATGAAGCATTTTCTTTTTTGCTGAAATGTTTCATTAAATTTTTTATTAAATTATTAAATATTATGTTATTTATTAAAAATAAATATATTTCTATTTTTACCACCTTTTAAATTTTTTTAAAGAGTATATATATATATATATATCTTTAAAGATTTTATTTATTTGACAGAGAGAGACACAGTGAGAGAGGGAACACAAGCAGGGGGAGTGGGAGAGGGAGAAGCAGGCTTCCCGCAGAGCAGGGAGCCCGATGTGGGGCTGGATCCCAGGACCCTGGGATCATGACCTGAGCCGAAGGCAGATGCTTAACGACTGAGCCACCCAGGTGCCCCAAGAGTATATTTTTTTTGAGATTTATTTATTTGAGAGAGAGAGCAAGCACAGTACATTTGTTACAGTTGATGGGCCTATACTGACACATCATTATCGTCCATAGTCCATAGTTTATGTTATGGTTCACTCTTGGTGTTGTACATTCTATGGGTTTGGACAAATGTATAATGACATGTATTCATGATTACGGTATCATGCAGAATATTTTTACTGCCCTAAAAAACCCTCTGTGTTCTGCCTATTTATGCCTCCCCTCCCCTATGAATGTCTTTTTTTAAAACCACTGATTTCCTGACTATATATTTCCTGACAAAGTGTACACAAATGTATAGTAGTGAACATATTTTTATCTACCTATAACATCTAATGTAAGGTTTTATATTTGGGTAGCAGATTGTAAGTATTACACATTTTAACTCATTTAATCCGTCCAGTGACCCTACAAGTTAGGAATGATTATTACCCTAATTTTACAAACAAGGAAACTGAGTCCCAGGCATATTATATTAAGTAACTTGGTTAACATGGTCTGTGACCATAGATTGGCTGTAGCCTCTTAACCATGAGTCCAAATCACCACAATAAACCTCAAACATGTCAAAGAATTACGTGGGGGAAATCAGTCTTTTTCTTGTGAATACTGCTGGTGAGAACAACATTCATTCAGTATTAACCCAGTGTTTTATTTTTTTTTTAAGATTTTATTTATTTATTCATGAGAGACACAGAGAGAGAGAGCGAGAGAGAGGCAGAGGGAGAAGCAGGCTCCCAAGGAACAGGGAGCCCGATGCGGGACTCGATCCCAGGACTCTGGGATCATGACCTGAGCCGAAGGCAGACGCTTAACCATCTGAGCCACCCAGGCGCCCAACCCAGTGTTTTAAAAAGCCCAAATACTTTGCAGGTGATTACTTAGAAATATTCATCCTTCTACACACCTATAAGACGTAAAATGTAGATGACCACTTAGGCAAAATTAGAAAGTAGGCAAAACTATTTGCAGCAATGGTTTCCCTGCCAATTCCAAGTCTCTGGTTCCCACACATATCTCTTCCCATTACTCTCAGGAGAGGCCCTAAGAATTGCATCCTCAAGCTATCTCCTGGCTCTCAGCCCAGCTCCCTTTCCGCTGCTGCCTGGAAGGCCAGCCCAATGTTTTACCTTACTTCTCCTGGCAATGAGGTTACCTTCTGACGCCCAGTTCACACTGAGGTTGAGCCATTCCACATTTCTTATTTCAAAGCAACTTTATTATTCTTTTATGCATGCTTTCCAATCTCTCTTTAAGGGTTGCCACAGAAAATGCCATGTCATATTTGGGACTTATACTAAAAAAATTATTTGTTGTTACTCTGCAACTCAAATTTAACTGAGTGAGCTGTATTTTTATTTGCTAAGTCTGGCAATTCTACTCTCTTTCCTAAATGCTCCAGGTACTTTCCAACCCCCCTCTGCCCACAATCCCCTGTAAAGATCCAGCCCTCCCCTTCCTCATCTATTCTTAGGGGAGTAACTAGCCTCCTACTTGGTGGAGAAAACGGTGTCACTGAGATGTCTCTCCTCTAAGGTAACAGCAACTTCACCCACACTTACTTCCTGCCAGTAGCTTTGCTCCTTCCCAAGGCAAACCCTTGCCCATATCACTGTGCTAACTCCCCCCAAACTTTCGAAGACATGGCTCATGTACTCCTTCTCTCTCTTGTCCTTTCAATTCTTGGCCTCTGATGACTCTTTATCTTCCACTTACCCTAATATTTGTGTGTTTCCTCTACCAAAAACTCACTGTCTTCCGCTCATACTAACTAGGTCCCCATATAAATCTCTCTTCTCTTGTTTGCCACCACTCAAAACTACATAGTGGGACATGACAGTCTTGGATTCAGCCATCATTCTGCCTGTTCCCCGCTGGGCAACTTTTGGCAAGTTCTTTAACATCCTTAAGTGTCAGTTCCTGAACTCTCTCTCTTTCTCCACAGTGTTCCAGAATTATACAATAACATATCTTGATTTTCCAAGTCCTCTCCTGGACATACAATGGGCCCTGTATAGTCTGAGAAATTACCAAA